CTATAAATATAATGCATTAAATAGTAAATATGGAGTTATTTCAGACACATTTTGTTTTTTAAAATAAAGTAACTGGAATTCAAACATCACATGCAACATGTTTGGAATCTGAAGTCTAAAACAACCGCTTATAACGCCGTTCTTTATGTGAGTAAAATGGAAGAAATGAGTTTAAACTTTTGACTCTGTGTGTTTTAGAAATTCTTGTTCTTTGTGCTGAAGAGCAGTGATGTGTTGGACATGCTGATTCCCATCCTCTTCAACCTGAACGACGCCAGAGCAGATCAGTGTGAGTCATTCAGACATTAAATACAACACTGTTTGTGCATATTAAGATGAGTGTTAACTTGCATTGATCATTATTTAACAACCTCATGCTCTGACTGATCCATCTTTTTGTTTGTGTGTGTCTGCAGCTCGTGTTGGCCTCATGCACATCGGCGTGTTCATCCTCCTGCTGTTAAGCGGAGAAAGAAACTTTGGTGTTCGCCTGAACAAGCCGTACACTCTCCGTGTCCCGATGGACATTCCTGTTTTCACGGGAACTCACGCTGACCTGCTCGTTGTGGTAAGAGGTCAGGAGGTGAAACAGGACTGATCTCATACAACCACATTTACAGTATATTTTAGCTAACTTTCATTTCATTTAAACTACTTTGATCCAGAATAAAATGCCTACGATTGATATAATAAATAACAATAAATGTTGTCCCTCAATCAATGATCTAGCGACCAGGTCCAAATTCTCTGGACGTTTCAATTTATTACAGGAACTAATTATCTAATTCCCATCAACCTCAGCTAAACAAATAGCTGCTAATGTAGCATTCTAACCTAAACTATAGCATGTTACGTCACATGCTAAATGCTAAAGTGTCAAATATGAGACAGTAAACATTACAACTGTATAACAGTTGACTTGTTAATATTAATTTGTTAGCATGCTAACAATTATTAGACATTTAGCACTTAGCTTTGGAAACAGCGTGTAACATGCTATTATTAATGTGTATTAATGTGCTAACATGCTAACAAGTTTTAATCTGTGACTGTGTTAGAATATAACTTAAGCACAGTCATATGCTAAACATCAACATATTAGCTTCCAGTAGCTGTTTTTGCCATTTTGCTGTAAAAAAAAAGAAGAAATTTTGGTGGAAATTCTTTCCTATTTAGAGTTTTTCCTTATCTAAGAATAGAGGGTGTCTAATGTCATCTTATTTTATATTCTTTCATTAAAAAAAATATAAAAATGTGACTTGAATTCTGATGTTATGTTGATTTTTCCCTCTGTTATATTTTCGGATGTTCTGTGAGTACATTAATAGCACTCTAAATATTTCCTTCACTTTTTCATGTTTAGATCTTCCACAAGATCATCACCAGTGGACACCAGCGCCTCCAGCCTCTGTTCGACTGCCTGCTCACAATCATAGTGAACAGTGAGTATCACTGATCAACTGTTGCCATCTAGTCGCAAAACAGGAGAACTGCTGCGCATATTTAAACCCTCCGTTTCTGCTCTGCCACAGTTTCACCCTATCTGAAGAGCCTGTCCATGGTGGCAGCCAACAAGCTGCTCCACCTCCTGGAGGCCTTCTCCACACCCTGGTTCCTCTTCTCCTTGCCCCAGAACCACCACCTGGTCTTCTTCTTGCTGGAGGTTTTCAACAACATCATCCAGTATCAGTTTGATGGTGAGAACATAGATGTGTGTGGACAGAACTGGACGCCGTTACGGTACCAACCTTTACCAAACTACTGAATCCCTCCATTGCAGGTAACTGCAACCTCGTGTACGCCATCATCCGAAAGCGGAACGTTTTCCACCAGTTGGCCAACCTGCCGTCTGACACGGCGTCTATTCAGAAGGCGCTGCAGAAGAAGAAAAAGTCTGGGATTTCCAGAACCAGCTCTGTAGAGACGGTGTCCATGGAGGGATCCAGACCTGCTGTACCTGCTGAGCCCGGCACACTCAAAGCCAGCTTGGAGGCCACTCCAGGTACCAAAGATCACTACAAAGACAGAATGTTTCATGATTGTTGTCCAAGAACTCTGACGGGTATTTTACTTTTATGCCTTTTATTCAGTAAATATCCAGTTAAAGTTAAGTTATATTCAATTAAAGCAATCCATCAGAAGTCTTGTGAGTACTAAATACTCATCTCCGGTAGGCGGCGCTATTAAGAGGCATTGGTATTCAACATAATTGGGCTGTCACTACATAGCTAAAATAAGTTTGTTAGTTATGGATGGATTTAGTTTTTAGACGTCCTCAGGTGTTGGATAACTTTTGTAAACAACCAGCAGCTGCTGCTTTGAAAACGTCAATGAGATTAAATTTATTTTTTATTTATCTGGTCGATTTGTGATGTTTTATGTGACCTCTGCAGTTTCAGGCTCTCTCTCTTTAAGGTGTGTATCTGATCTGCTGCTGATGTTCTGATTTTGAAGCTAACAAAAAGACTGTGCACTTTCTTGCAATTAAAAAAAAAAAAAAGAAACGATTCTCTTGCGTCCTATAGGAATTGATAAGATAACAGAAAAGTCCCGGGTGAGTGAAGATGGTACGTTGGTCGCTGTGCCGCATTTAGACCCTCCACAGATGGCCGCTGACAGCAGTCCTGGAGCTGGAGCCAGCGACACGGAGTCCAACTCAGAGAGAGACCACGAGGTACGCTTCACAGCAGTGGTTCCCTCACTCTGTCTCTGGTTTTTCCTCCTGCAGTGAAAGTGACTTTGTCCTGTTGTCAGGTCTACCATGCAGAGTCCGAAGCAACGAGAAGTCGGTTGTCGAGTGTGTCGTCGTCGGCAGCCTGGAGTGCCAACGCAGACTGGGTCAGTACGAGTCTTATCTACTGTTATGTTGCTATATTTTAGTATTTCTGGTGGTTTCAGTGCTGGAGTTATGTGTCCTACTCTATCTTGTGCTACCTGTGCGCTCTCAGGTGTTGTCATGGAAGGCGAAGCTCCCTCTACAGACCATCATGCGGCTGTTACAAGTACTCGTCCCTCAGGTGGAGAAGATTTGCATCGACAAGTAAGAAATTACACAATTTTTAAACCCAAATGGATTATTTTGGGGCTGTAAGTTTTCTTTTTCTTTCTGTCTTCAGTCATGGTGATACTAATAACAGTTATTATTCTGTTTATATGAACCCTTTGAGTATCTTGAAATTATTCATCTCCCTAAAATCTGTAGAATCTCAGTTAAAAGTATATATAATATAATATATAACTCAATAATCTATAATAATTGGAAAAAATATTGAAATTGAGTCACATATACAATAAAAGTACAAACAATTTACCTTTTTTCATCGAATTTTATTAAATAAAAACAAGAAACATAGTGATTAAAAAGATTTCCAAATGTAGAAACATGAAGAAAATATTTCTTGACGCTCCAGAAGTTATTTGAACTTCGTACATTTTTTGTTTTTGCACATGCTTTGTGGTTTCTGTTCATCTTTTATACTCCTACTCATTGATTACTGTTGTACTGAAGACTTTCACATTGTGCTGAAAGAGAATTAAACATGGTCTGCTAAAGTAAATAATAATAATAATAATAAAGCTGCTAACTTATCCTCACTGTGTTTGGTGTCAGGCTGATGTTGTAACAATAAAACTATACGCTGAAAGACGTTAAAATGCTCCATACGGCTCAGAGAAACTACAAAGTTTCCCCCTATGAGCGACCGGAGTCATGTGATCCACTGTTAATGTGGAGATATTGATGAGTGCAGCTTTAATCGCTCTGATTAATCGTTTTTGTCGTTGTCCTCAGGGGTTTAACAGACGAGTCAGAAATCCTAAAGTTCCTCCAGCACGGCACGCTCGTCGGCCTCCTGCCCGTCCCTCATCCCATCCTCATCAGGAAGTACCAGGCGAACGCCGGCACCGCTATGTGGTTCCGCACATACATGTGGGGAGTCATCTACTTACGGTAAAGAAGCTTTTTAAGCTTTTAAGTTCTGGAAATCAAGTCAAGAGTTTTAACAGTGACTTCCTCTTTGTTGCCGTAGAAACTTGGATCCTCCAATCTGGTACGACACAGACATACGGCTCTTTGAGATCCAGAGGATTTAGAGCAGCTGTTGAAGATTCACCTTCCTCACTCCTGAACTGGGATCAGAGGAACATTTTACATCTTTTTGGAGTCTATTTGAAGACAACAACCTTCTTTCTTCATCTTTGCCAACTTCCAGGGTTCAGACTAAAGTGAAAGAGCTGTATTGTGCAGGAGAGCAAATGCCAAATGGTCATTAAATCTGACAGTAGATTCATTTATTGAATATTAATTTATTCACTTTATGCCAAAAATACAACTAGTGGTTTAAGTGACAAAGGGAAGTTTTGCTTTCCCTTCGTCTTTTAAACTCCTCGCCAAATCATGAAATAACCTGCCAGCGTACGTTAGACTGTTGTATTGAAGCCTTTCACATTGTGCTGCTAACAGGAACTAAACGAGGTCTGAACAGGGACTGAAACTGTGCTGCAAAGTGCTTCAAGGTGTAAATACGATGTGTTGTATACACAATTAAAAACTGATCAGACTGGTTTGAGCTTAGAGTTTTAACTTTTTTCACGTGAAGCATTTTCCTGAAAACACGCTATATGGCCAAAAGTATGTGGACCAAAAATAACCCGCACCGACTGTAGCTGAACGTTAGCCAGCTCAGTGGTGCGAGGTGGGCTCAGTGATACGTGTATTTCAGTAGAAAGAAAATAGTCTCACATGGAAGTGTTCACAACAAGGTCTGTGGATTATCTTTGAGGAACCCGGGTCATGACTTCTGGAAGGAGAGATTGCTGTTCAAATATATATATTTTTTTGGCAACTCGCGCCAAAACGACCTAAAAGAATAAATGGAACTACAGGTAACAGGATAAATTAGTGTTTTTGATTTTGGGGTGAACTTTCCCTTTCTTCCCTTCCCTTTAACGTTCCAACCTTTTTCTTTAAGGGACCCCCTTTCTGACATATTTTATGGATGTTTTATATTGTATTTAATGTATAAAAGGAACAACTGATAAACTACAGTGAACACAAACCATGAACAGAATAACTGCAGTAAAGATTATTTCCTGTGAATATTGATCAGAGATAAGTTTAACTGATAATTTTTATAAAATTTCCGGTACAGTTTTTATACAGAATCTCATTTATGTATTTTTTCATTCTCATACATACTTAATTGGCTTATTTTTTGGACAAATTCAGTGTTTTCTTCACATTGTTCTATTCTTTGGTTGTTTGTACTTTTTCTAATGAAGGCTCTGTCACTATATCAGTGTTCAAAGTTTAGTTCTTAAATAATCTAAACTTTAAAAATAACATTTACATTTAGTTTTCTTTACAGAAATTTACAATATTCACCTTTAGTGGGGGTTGGGAACAACTGCTTTAAGTTGTTTGAGTTTACTTTAAGAGTTAAAGGTTAATAGATTATGGATCATTAATAGCTTTATGAGATGTTTATTTGCTGGTGACCGGGTTTGGAATTATTTACCACCTAAAGACCTGAAAACACTTTTTTTTTGGCCTGTCTAACCTGTCGAGTTCTCAACCATTACCTCACAGAGTTGCTTTGTGCTTTGTGCACTGGGGCGTTGTCATGTTGAACAAACACAAACTGTTGGCACACACTTAGGAGGAACGCTTTTCTAATACGCTGCCCCTTTTTTACAAAGGGCCCAAACTATGAGTCACACACCAGAAGTCCACACAATACAGAAACCAAATAATGTATAAATGTTGTTTTATCTCCTTCAACGGTCAGTGTGCATCATGCAGAGATGAGCAGCTCCATTAACGCTCCCACAGAGTGCATCCGGTAGAAAACACTGAGCGGTTGACCCAGGTTCACCAGGACGAACCACACGGAGAAGCCAAAGAACTGTTTCCCGAGGCCGTTCTCAAACTGGGGATGGACTCCGAACGCTGGGATGACCCACAGCTGCAAGAGGAGGGAACAAACATACCTTACAAATGCAGGAACAACAAATGAACGTGTATTTCTTTCTAAATCAGCCAGTTAAACACACATTACCATGACATTAGAGAGGATGAGGAAAGCACAGATTTCTTTTATCGCTCTTGTGGTCCAGGGTTTTTTCCCATCATGCTCTTGCACAGTGGCTGGCATCTTCCCCTCCAGCAGTGAGATATCTGTCTTCCTCTCCTCTTGTTCTGGCACAGCAGCCTTTTTCTTAAGCTGTGGGACAGTTTATCATTCAAATAAAACCCTTTTAATGACCGACCTGTTCAAGAAACACTCACTGAGATACAGGTAGAGCGCGTTTACCTTGAAAATGCTGCTCCGCTGCTTCTCTTTCTTCTTGGAGAACAGTTCCGGGTGCCTGTGGAGGCCCTCGATGATGAAGATGTTCTGCAGGATGAGCTCCAGCAGGCTGAGGAGGGAGTAGGAGAGGTCTAGGTCCCCCAGAGGCCCGTCGGTCCCCACAGCGAGGGCCGCCACGAGGGAGAAGTACGACAGGGAGAGCTGGCCCAGAGCCGCCGCCACCAGGAGCATCACATCCAGGCTGCGAGTGGGGTTGTGCCCCCCTTCTTTCGCCCTCCTCTCCAGCCGGTAGACCAGCATCCCAACCAGCGAGCACAGAGACATGACGGGCATGACGGCTAAGTGGTAGCCGTAAAATATGAGGAAGGCGGTGAAGCGGAGCTCTGGCCGGCTCACCCAAACCTGGTAGAGAATGAAGACGGTCACTCCGGCTAGGAGGACCAGGGTGCCAAACACCAGGCCGTATATGATCCCGCCGTGGTAGACGATTTGAAGGGTCAGCTTCTGAGTGGTGTGCTGGTGACCCGGGCTCATCCTGCGACCCACGTTCTTCCACATCACGTAGATCATGCAGCCGGCCATCAGGTAGTACTCCATGTTGAAGGGATAAAGGATTTCGAAGCCTTTCCTGAAGGCAAGGCAGGCTGCACTTGCAGAGCACTGGCAGAAAGTCGAATTGGAGATTTCTGGAGGCAGACATGGAGGACAACAACATGATGCATTATGTCACCTAATAAGGTCTAATAATGTAATAACACACATATTTCACCATATGTGTAATGAATCATGACAAGATGAACAAAAAGCCCCCTGGACCCATACCCCAAACCCAACAGGAAGTCAGCTATTTTGAATTTAGTAATCATTTTTTTTATGTGAAATGGTTTCCCCATGAAACAGGAAGTTGTCATTACTTCAGTGTACTTTGACCAATCTCTACCAAACCTCTCATGTTTGATAAGAGTCCTGCCCTGAACACATCTACATACCAATATTCAGTCATAGTCATAGCGCCCCCTACTAGAAACAGGAACGTAACCGTGATATAACCCGACGCACGTGGACTGCTTGCAGCTTTAATTACAAATTGCGTTCATGCTGTTAATTATAAAATGCAGGTGTTATTACATTGTGAAGTGACATTTTGTCAAGTTATTACATAATGTGTTGTTAGAATACTTACACATATGTATGTATATATATATATATATATACATATATACGGGGTGTGTGATTTGGCCTAATGGAACTTCCCTTCATGAACTACCTGAGACGTCAGCTTCTGTTGAGTTTGCGTTGCTGAAATCGAGCTTGTCTTCTTTCTCCAACTCGATCTCTTCGTGGATGGTGTCCTCAGTGACTGCGTTCAGCCACAGCAGCAGGTCGGCAGAGAGGATCAACATCAGTCCGGACCTGCATGCAAATTTCAACAAATACAGAAAAAACACACCTGAAGATACACATGACAATCCTTTATTATAAACTAATAAATATATAGGAAACGTATGAAATATATTCATAAAAAGTCAATGAATTGTATAGAGTGATGCACCTGGTGATTATCTTGTGTCTGTGAATGCAGTCTTTAGAGTGAGCCCACAGTAAATACGTCTGCCGAAGAAAGATGAGCAGTTATTCAATAAGGAAACTTATGAAGAATAACAGAAAGTCCTAAGAACAAAGCAGAAAAATTTTATATTTTATTTAATTTATTCATATGTTTTTTTATTTATAATGCAATCTTTAGTGCTGCAGACAAAACACTGAAATGAAGTGTGGAGGAGACATGCAAATAATGAGCTAAAGGTCATTTTTTGCATCTTTGGTTTGCATTCAGTCAAGAACAGAAGTGATTTTATATCTTATGAACTTATGTCTTATGAAATATAACTCATATAGTTTTAATAATTGAAGGTTAATTTAAGAGGTCTGTCCTTCATCTTGCACGTTTTTTATAGAAATCTGAGGCTGTAAATGTCTGTTTAGGTTCATCATGTCACATGATGACACCTGAGCCAATCCCGTTCACTGATGAAGACCATAGGATGCAGGTGAAAGCTGATAAATGGACCTTTTAATTTAAGATTACATTGTGACACAGAGTTTAGTTTAAGAGCTGATTAGAGGTTTAGATCAGCAGTGGGATTGTTGCAGTAACAAACTAGACACACTATAAATAAACTATTATTATACAAATATACAAAAAGTTTAGCATTCATTTTTAATTCATAATTGTGCAACAGGTCAGGTTTAAATGGTTGCTGTTGTATTAATAAATATTTAATGATTGATAACAGGAGTTATAGAGGCTATTTTGCACAGATATGAACACAGGTGTGTCTTCAGATTGTGACGTGCCCTTTTGGTGCCACATAGATTATTGGGATTATTAATGGATGTTTGTTAGTGATCAGATTTAGATTTTATTTACCTTCTTAATAACTGTTTATGGCATTCTGCATCTTCACTTTTGCTCTTTTATAAATGTGCTTTTTCTTTGTGAGACTATTTAAAGAAGTAACACGTTCCCTCATTTGTAAATGCAAATTTGAATTAATAAGCAAACAAATGCTGCTCAACTCAATAAACACTGTAAAACTGAGATATCATATTTCTGTTTCTATTTACTCTTGGCCTCACTTCAAAAGCTTTGTCCACTTAGAACTGATCAGTAACAACATTTTGAGAATTAATCTATTAAAGGCTGTAACTTCACAAGGTTTGAGCATGTTTTTTCAACCATTAAATGGTCCTTAACATCTTAACATCTTTCTTTCTCCTGGGTTTTAAAGAGCACGGTCTACCTGCTGTATCTGTGTGCTCAGATAACTTCTGTTGAATTACCTGCAGCGCGAGAAAAGGAGCCTCAATGAAGGGAGAGAGCACTTTAGCAGCAGGCTTACACTCACTCATGCTGATCAAATAGCCGGTCCTGCAGATGAACAGCAGCAGACTGAACGCAGCAAAGAGCATGAGGACCACTGCACAGAGCCGGAGAGAGAGAGGAAGCACTTCATTACCCCACAGACCAGCAAATATTATCTCACATATTACTTAATGCTCGTACAGGAGCTTACAGGTGACAGTGATTCCTCCGGCGTGGTGGTCCTGATGTGGACAGATGTCGGGTTGTTTCCTGGCCCACAGCAGGTACCACAGCATCCAAAACAAACTCAACCCCATCAGCAGCAGCATGAACACCTGGGGCTCCTGGTGCCTGAGGCCTTTGGGGTTGAAAGCCTCTCCGGCCACCAGGGCCGCTCCCAGGAGGATCACGTTCAGACCCAGCAGACCAGAGATCAGACGCCTCCCACTGGGAACCCAAACCACCACGGGATCCATTTCCTGCTCCTGGTTCTGATGGTCTGAGCTCTTCACTGGGTGGTCGCCAGAGGGATTTCCAGGTGTCCCCCAGTGGGAATCCAGCTCTGTGGCTCCAGGATCTGCATTCATATTCAGCTTCTTTTTTTATTTTGTGCCTAGAAACCCTCTTTAGTTCCTTTCAGGGATTTTCTCTCACGCCGTCACACTTCATCTGAAATTCTGCTGCTCTACATGTGAAGGTATGAGTCTGAAAGCTGCCACTGATCCTCTAGATCCACCTTCCAACACTGGTGCAGGTGTGGCCACAGAACGACACACCTTTCACAGGAAAAGCCAAAGGTGTCAGGTTTACCTTTCACACTGACCTTTTTTTCACCCGTTCGGCCTCATGAACAAAGTTTTTCTTCGTGGCCCCAAATGACCCAAGCAGAATCTCTGTCGATCTCCAGCCCAGTTGGTCTCAACGTCAGTGGGGTTATTTTACTTTGAAAGGGTTTATCAGCCGGGCTCTGTGCCACATCGTGTCACTGTTTGCGTACAGTCGACACCAGGAACTGATTAATAAATGCAACCTTATCACTGCTGTAGCAGCTAATGACTGATACTGATAAACCTGGGTTTCATTCTTGAAATTATAGGATCAGACAGGCAGTTTCTGCATGTTTGAGCCCATTAAAAAATAAAAAAAACAGCACAGACTTCCATTAATTTCTGTTCTGTATAATTAGAAGACAGCTGTGTTAATGGTGCTGGAACTGAGCATGCTCCAAAACAATGGCAATAAAAAGTATCTGTTATCTTTTGCTTTAATTTTTCCATGGCATTAAAAGTAAAGCACTTTTTTTTGTCTGTGATTGATTACAATGAAGTATTGTATATGAATGCTGCCTCTCTCACCATTCATTCTTTATGGTTTGGTGGGTTTGGACGTCACTGACCGCTCGCAGGCAGCAGCACTGGTACATTTTTATTTATTAAGCGATACTGGGTAAACTTCCTCTGTAACCTGCTCTGGTAGTTTCCAGCTACGTTCCTCCAAGTAGGACCGAGTTTTGATAGATCCATGACTCTTTGGCGACCCCTAGTGGGGGTCACGACCCCCAGGCTGGGAACCACTGTCCTAAAAGCACTTTTGTGTTCAGAAATCCAAATGTAGTTTTCACCTTATATATTAGGCCTCATGGGCATTTATATAATATAATTAATCTTTAATGTGTCCTTTTACACTATCTGCCCGTATAGTGTGTCAGTTATTAAATGCTACCACAGATTAAATGCTGGTTATTTATGAATAAATGTCTTTTAAATGAATGTGTGCCACTCAGGAGGCTGCAAGGCTGCTCAACTCTTCCACAACAATTCATTATGTACATTTTATTTTTTTTAGGTAACATAAAGGGAAGTATATCTAAATTTAATTCTACAACCTTGTTAATTGAATGACAATAAAATATCCTTGAAATGAACTATTCTGTTCAAAGGGGCTTTATTGGCATTAGAAACAGACGTTTACATTAAAGCACGTGTAAAATATATGTATATACTGATTAGTAAGAAGATACTACTACTACTACTACAATAATAATAATAATAATAAATAATAATAATTAATACAGAGAAGAAGAAGAAGAAGGAAGAAGAAGAAGAAGAAGAAGAAGCAAGAAGAAGAAGAAAGAACTCAAAACAAGGTAGAATATTGTAATATTGAATATTGTGTATATACAGCGGGGTAAAATAAGTATCTGTACACGTCACCATTATTCTCAGTAAATATTATTCTCTAAAGGTGCTATTGATATAACATTTCCATAATGCAATCCACATATGCAAAGAAATCAAACCAAGATGTCCATTAAATTAATGTATGGTAACAATGTGAAATGACACAGGAAAAAAGTATTAAACACATGATTGAAAGGGAGGTGCAAAAAGGCATGGAAAGCCAAGACACCAGCTGAAATCTATCAGTAATTAAAAAGCCAATCCTGCCACTTGTCAGTGCAAAATAATATCAGCTGGTTCAGTCCCAACTAGGCCTATAAAAAGGTGTCTCATCACCAAGGTGTCACACAAGAAACATCTCAGATGGGTAAAACCAAAGAGCGCTTTCAAAACCTACGCAAACTTATTGTTTGCAAAACATACTGATGGCGTTGGCTTACAGAATGATTTCTAAACTTCTGAATGTTCCAGTGAGCATTGTTGGGCCATAATCTGGAAGTGGAAAGAACAAATCATTTCACCATAAATCCAGCATGACTAGGTGCTCCTCCCAAGATTCTGACAGAGGAGTGAATTATCAGAAGAGTTGTCCAAGAGCCAAGGACCGCTTGTGAGAGCTTCAGAAAGACCTGGA